ACTCGACCGCGTTCCTCGACGCTCGGTTGTCTACCGTGATGGGGTTGGGCAGCCTCTGACCGCAGAGCTTGGGAAGGCCCTCGGCGAGCTTGTCGCCGGAGAGAGGACAGACCTTGCAGAGGATCACCTTCTTCCCGCACTGGCATTGCCCGATCTGACTGAAGTGCTCCATCGCGTGGCTGATCTCCCGGTCGCTGCTTCGCCCGAGCATCAGCTTGCAGATCGCAGGCGTGAGGACGTTGGACGAGCGCCATTGCGAAGGGCTGTGCTTGCATCTGTCTTCAGCCGATCGTATTTTTCCTTCTTTCACTCTCATCGATTCTGTTTTAGAGTAAACGAGTGTGAAGGAAAGGGCAAGGTATCAAGTGGACAAGTGGTGGAAGGAGAGTGGTGGCTGGAGGTCTGGAGGTCTGGAGAAGCGGAGGAGAGGAGGAGAGGAGGGTGGGCTAGAGGAGGAGAGGAGGGGTGGGCTAGAAGAGGAGAGGAGGGGTGGGCTAGAAGAGGAGGATGGTCAGGGAGGACGCGCGAAAAAAATCTGGCGCCATTTTTGGTTTGGCTTGAAGTGAACCCTTTCGGGGTGGGTGGTTACAGGAGTAAAAGAGAGGGTGGGGGTGGGGTCTTTGCGGGCAGTCGCATCTGGCAGGCGGATCAGGCAGGTACTATACCAATGGTACTATTCTTCACTCAACCTTGATGAGTGTATTTTCGACTCGCCGACGCCAAGCCCGGGCCGGGGCCGGGGCTCTGTAGCGTGGCGGCAATGTAGCGTGTGGGACGAAGAGGGGGCTTTCCTAGCCGTCTTGCTCAGTAAGGTCCTCTCATGTCTGGATGCTTGGGTTTCACATCCTAGCATACAGTCTATCTCTCATGTGCTCCTTAATACTGGTTTTGTGTTCATAAAATTCTGTCTTGAGCAAAAACTGTCTTGTTACAACTAAGGTCGATGTGATATCTGCGTGACTTTGGACTAGTACAAGTCTAACAAACTTGTATTCCGTCGGTTATGGGCCCCTCTATCGATCGCGGATTCCAGGGATGTGGATATCGCCCTTCATCTTGCGGCCATGAGGATGGGAGGGACTTGAATGGATTTACTGGCAGAAGGTAAAA